CCCCAAAACCCCAAAACCCCTCTATGCCAAAATTAAAACAATAATCACAAAGATAAAATATTAGAATAATGAAATAAACAATTGACCACTCTAAATTTTCAAGACTCTCAAATTATACTGAGGAAGTAAATAAGCATGTTTGACAATAATCCTCTATACTTTAAGAGAAACATAGGAGGAGACCAATGAATCAGACTTTTTCAAACTTACAAGATATGACTGATTACAGTTTCTCTAATAGAAAAGATAGAGATGTACCTCGCATAAAATTTAGTAACTAAAGTCAACTTTAAACTGACATCAACTCATCAAACATTCTAGTGAACTCGAGAAATCAGCTTATCAATAAGATAACTACCAAGAATAAATAAACTGGCCGCACTGCTAAGCTAGCTAAGCAAAGCAGTCTAATAGTATACAGTGATATATCACCTATAGTTAGCATTTAGAATAAAGAAGTTCTCTTGCCTGAAATAGGTCTAAATAAGTTCAGAGATGAATCACTTGTTGATTCTATAGCTCCAACGAATCCCTTTACTTATGAGAAAAATCTATCAAAAATGTTGGTAGTCAGAGAAAGGGAAAGAGAGCTCAAGCGAATTAATTTCGAAAGAAGCAGACTGAACAAGACTGAGGTTGGTTTCACCAATCAGAATCACAGTTGAACTAAGAGCCATCAAACTTACTCGTACATTGATAATCAGTCCATGCGAATGGATACAGCCAGTGTACTATAAACTCTCTAAAATGAAAGCGAACATAATACAAGCATAGCTATATGATAGCAGCAGCAACAGCAGCCAGAATCAGAAATAGAAAAGAAGAGAAAGCAGATGAATGACTTAAGCTTTCTAGTTAATAAAAGGGATAGAAGCGGTTTCATTAGGGAAATGAATTCTATTTAGCCTAGAGAGGAGTATTAAGACTTATAGTAAAAGTTTTAAGTTAGATCTAAGAGCGAGATAAAACATATGGGAGGGAAATAAAGGAAATTGAAGATGTTGCTGGATTAGAATGACAATAAATATAAAGTCAACATATTTAAAAACCCCTTAATACCATTGAAAGATCAATTGAAAACATTAGAGCTATTATAAGATCAGGAATATCAGGCAATGATTTTAAGAGATGATAATTAGACTAGTTAGTTTATAAGCAGAACATAGTATACTGGAGGTTTTGGGAACAAGACTGATAATTCTACAATGAACCAGACTTTGTAAGTCTACAATTAAAGTGATTAGAATGGCCTAAGTTCTAGAAATAGCTCTCAACCTATTCGAACTCAAACCTTAAGATACTTGTAGATTAAAAACAATATAGTTAATAGAAATGACATAAAAATGAGCTGCATTGATACATCTAGGAAAATTCTCTTCAAGCAGATTTCTATTAATACTAAACTGTAAGAGCTAGATGGAATTGAAAATGAAATGATAACTGAAAGAGATAAGCTTTATGATGCATAGGATTCATTGTAAATAGACGGCCTAAAATTCAAGAACTTCCAAGAAGAAGAAGAGATTAAGAAGCAGTAAATTGAGCTACAGTCATTGATAGTAAACGAAGAGAAGAAACTGGTAGACAGTAAGCTTGCCAGGCTTGAAAATGAGATTGCTTTTGTTGAGCATGAAATCAAGTAAACTCAGGAGGATATCCAGCCTATGATATATTCTAAGAAGTTTGTCAATGATATAGCAGAGGAGTTTATATACTCAAGGAATAGGAATCTATAGACATTTCAGCAGCAGAAAAGAGAACTTACCTTTGGCAAGAATAATAGTCTTAGCAAGGCTAGTCTGTATTCTGGCTCGAACACTTTCCTGACTCAGAATTAGCAATAAGAAGATAGCAATATAATAAAATAGGAGTCTGGCAATAACAGCTCAGATAAGGATATGATACCATTTGAAAAATCTCAGATGCATCAATTTATTCATGAAGTTGAGGAGAGCAATCTCTTTTTAATGAGAATCATCGAAGATGAGGAATAATAGTTTAAGAAGGAAATGGATAGATGGCATGAATAATAGAACAATATCAAGCAGAGAACCAAGGAGATAATGAGTAATACTGAAATAATCTAACAAAAGAAAGACTTGCAGTAGAAGATACTTTGGTAGACTGAGAAGAAAGTAGACCATGAATATGAGAAGATCAAAAAGAACTAGGCATTATAAAGTAAAGACTAGTTTGATGAAGTCATTCAAATAATTAAGGATATGCATTTAAGGTTGCATCCAGACTAGGAAAAGCTTGAGTATGATTAATCTCAGATAAGTTTGCAGTAGATTCTTAAGCAATTAGAAGACAAAGTGGGATACTTAGCAGAGGCTAATGATCACATTCATTCTTTAGCCTAAAAAGACCAGTAATTGAATAAGGAATTGACTGACAAGATTAAGGTTCTCGATGGAGCAAGGAAACTGAAGAAATACTAGGAGCTAAAGGAAAGAGAAAAAACTATTGAGAAAATGAACTACGAAAAGAACATGGAGAGAGTTAGGAGAACTGAAAATGTTAAAGTAATTGTTGGCAGGAAAAATCAAAACAGAAGCTAGAAACCTGAAAGAGATACTTAGATCAAGTTAACTAAGCTCAATCAGGATGAAATTGATTTTCAAAAGTATGTAAATGGCATCTGAAATAATCTTAAAGGTAATTGATAAATACCTATCTGAATATATAGCAAAAAGCTAAGGCAAATAATCATAATTTCATTAATCCCTTTTTCTTATAGATTGTCAACATAGGGGTTTTGGGGTTTTGGGGTTTTGGGG